TGTATCATTTACTGTAAAAAAGAAGTTCTTTAAAATTTAAGTGTTCACCATATATATTGATCACATCTTGTATTAACTTCTGTCTTCGTCTCTGTAGGCTGCCGTGATAAAACACCATAGGCCATGTGGCTTAACCAGTAGACATGTCTTTGACGTAATTCTGAAGACCAGCAAGTCCACGATCAGAGAGCTAACAGATTTGTTTTCTGGTGAAAGCCCTCTTCTTACCTTCTCACCGGGTCCTCAGGGGCCTTGGCTTAACGTGTGGACAGAGAGAGAGAGAGAGAGAGAGGAGAGGGTGAGAAGAGAGGAGAGGCGGAGAGGTCTTCCTCTTCTTAGAAGGGCACTAATCCTATTGTCAGGAGCCTACCCTCTTCACCCTGCCCTACCTAACTCGCCTCTGGAAGCCCCACCTCACTTTCAGGATTAATATCCAACAATTTTGAGGGGATACAAACTTTCAATCCATAACCACTTGCAATTTTTTTTTTTAGCTTCTGGGCCTCTCCTTTAAAACCCTCTGTCCAGCTGCCTCCTGTCCCCTCCTCTTGGATACTGAACTGATAAACCAGCTCAACCCATGGCTGGTTGTTCGTTTGCTGGAAGGCCCTCTTTGCATCCTACGTGTCCCCAGAGCACTATCCAGCTCTGTCCTGTTGGGCTATCTGGACCTTGACCGACTTGGGTCAGGCTACTGTCACCTTATGTGGACTTCCACGCCATCCTGTGCTGAGATCTCAGCATGGCCACCACAGGGGTCCTGGTGGAACAGTCAGGCTGCGTCTCTTCTCCGATGAAAGTGTTGTTTGAATCACTTCCTACTCACTTGAGTCAAGTTGAGGCCTCTCATTACCCTTTGCCTCCATGTGCTGGCTCCTGTGAGTCCAGTTCTGGTTCCCCAGACCTCATTGGTGTCCCTTTCCTAGACTGCTCTTTCCCACACATCCCCACAGCAACTTCTGCCATTTCTCTCTCCCTCCTCCTTCTCCTTCTCCATTCTTCTCTTCCTTTCCTCCTCCTCCTCCTTCTCCTTCTCTTCTTCTCATTCTCTTCCTCCTTCTCCTTTTTCCTCTTTTTTGCCATTTCTTTTAAATATGGATATTTCTCATATTTTTTCTTCACTTTATTCTGGAATTTTCTGAACAGGTCCTTTGCATAAGCCCTCCTCACCTCCCTATTCAACACTGCAGATTCCAAACACACTTTCTTCCTTCCCCATTCTAGAGTTTTCTCCCTTGTAGGATGCACTGGACTCTAAGCTGCTACAAGTTTCACTTATATCATCTATGAACTCTGTTTTGCTGTGCTAGAATATAAGCTCTCTGAGGGGAAAAGTTTTTGTCTGTTGTCTTCACTGTTCTGTTATGGGTAACTGAAATAATACCTGGCACATAATAGGTGCCCAATAAATATTCAGGGAAAGATTGAATAATCTCATTCTGTCTCTAGGGAGACAGGAAATTGAGGAGAAGGTGGACGTGGTAGGTAGAGTAAGAAGTCCTCCAAAGTCCTCCTTTTGTCATCCCTGGAGCCCATGACTGTCACCTTCCCTGGTCACAAGGATTTTGAAGATGTGACTGACCTAAGGGTGTTGAGCTAGAGAGATTATCTGGCTAGGCCCAATGTCACCACAGTGACATTAGTAATTATAAAAGCAAGGCAGTTGGGAGGCTGAAGCAGGAGGATTTTTGCAAGTTCGAGACCAGCCTGGGCTACAAAACGAGCTCAAGGCCAGCCAAACTGCATAGCGAGACCTTGTCTCAAAAAACGAAAAGCAAAACAAAACCAAAAACCCAAGGCAGGTGAGTCAAAGAGCCAGGAGTAGATGTGAGGAGAGAGGCAGAAATCAGAGTTAAAGGAGGGTGTTAGCCAAGGAAGTCTGCCTGGGGAAGTAGGAAAGTCTCCCCTGGAGCTTCCCACAGGGCAACCTTGATTTACACCAAGTCTCTAGTTTTGAGATTCTGGCCTTCAGAACTGTGAGATCACGTATTTGTATTGTTTAAGCCACCCAGTCTGTGGTAATTTGTGTTTGGTTCTGTTTTTCTCCGTACTGGAGATGAACCCAGGGCCTCACAGTGGGCTGTATCCTCACACTCTCTGCTTTTTACTCTGAGTTATCCAGACTGGCCTCAAACTTGTGCTCCTCCTGCCTCAGCCTCCTGGGTAGCTGGGAGTACAGGTACATATGGACTGCTGCATGTGTTAGTTTATGGTAGTTTATTTCAGCAGCCGGGGGAACTAATGAAATGGGCTCAGGCCTTGATTGGCAAGCAGGTGCCACCAAACACCTCTTGCCTGCCTCCCTCTAAAGGAAGCTCACTGGATTCCAGGGAAATTTTAAATTGTTTTTTATTCAAAAGTTCAGATGATTGATGGAATCCACATAGGGATGGTGACTCAGACCAGGGCATGGGGGTAGCACTGGGTACCAGACATCCGGTCTGGCTTTCTCTGTTTTGAGAAGAGGCCTGACCTCCTTGTGAGGCAGCCTGGCTGGGGTCCCTTGGGCCATCCTGAAAGCAGCATTCGATCCCTGAAATGGCCCCTTCCTGTCAGGTAGATGTGAGGAGAGAGGCAGAAAGAGTTAAAGGATGAGATGTTAGCCAAGGAAGGCTGCCTGGGCTGTCCTTCAGCCTCTCCTTTGCCCCCTTCTCTGATGCACCGCTGATCCCTACCTGGTTTTCCTGCAGGGCCTGGGCTCTCTCTGGGATGGAAGAGGCCCCAGACCCCTGGGCGAAACCTGAACACCTCAAAAAAATGTCCCCTGGGATGACGAGGAAAGCAGTTACACTGGACATTTTTTTTAGGTGTTCAGGTTTTGCCAAGCTGAGACCCTGACTAGGTTCAAAGTTTTGTGACCACAGAGGAACAGGAGGTAGAGAGGAAAAAAGAGGAAAGAGAGGAGAAAAATAAAAAATGAATTTTGTTTTGACCTAAAAGCAAAGAGAGAGGCTGAGCCCTTGCCCAGAGTGTGTGAGGTTCTGGGTTCGATCGCCAGCATCACAAATTTTTTTTTTAGTCTTTTTTGAGACAGGCTCACTGTACAGTTCGGGTGGCCTTACGCTCACTTTAGCCCAGGCTGATCTCAAACTTGCAACAATCCTTCTGCTTCAGCCTCCCAAGTACTGGGATTACAGGCATATGCCACCATACCTGGCTCACGCAAATCATTTTACAAATTAAAAAAATAAAAAATGGAAAGTGGGTTTTTGGTTTCATTGGCAGCAGGCACCTACCGCTCTGGTGGTCCCCAGCTTCACTGGAGCGGGGCACAGAAGTCACTGAGCAGATGCCTGGGCCTGACACCCAGCCCAAAGCCACAACAGGGCCCGGCTGCTGCCTGAGATTAGGGACTCTGCCTTCCTCTGCAGGGTGCAGGAGAAGTGGGAACTAAACCCCTGGGCTGCGGTTCAGTTTCTTCCTGTCTATTGGGATGAGGTTTAGAACAAAGATTAAGTTTCTTTCATGTCTGAATTTGGAAACATTTATTGAAATGGGAAACAAATACAGTGTTCCCGCCATAAGAAATACTCAAAGTCTGTTAATACTGCCATGAAAAAACAAAATTCAAAGTCACAAGTTCATTCTACTGTGAATCTGTTTGAATGATTAATTCATGAGAACTGAAGAAAAAATTAGGAGTAATCAACATCAGATTACATAGAGATGCTAAATGAGCTCATTGTCAGATGATAGGTGGTAGGAGGAGGTTGTTTTAATGACCAGATCATAAATTCAGGAATGGGAGAGAGATTGAGAAAATGGAAGTATTTTCTTTGGAAATGTTTTAAAACAGGGAAGATTGATAATGTCTGTCCAGGCAGGAGCCTGGGGGTTGACCAGATGCCATTAGAAAATGCTTATTAGGGCTTCTGAATTACACAGAAAGAAACCACGCTAAATAAGAACAAAAACACATAAAATTCCCAGGTCAGAGAGAGCTTTGGAGGAATAGTAGAGCAGGTCAGGAATTTTTCTACTTTAGGTAATGGAAAAAAATGTCCAAAGTGTTAAGGTTCCGTAAGTAGAAGTATAGTTTCAAAGAATGTTCTAGATAATTAGCTCAGATGGGTGTAACTTCATATAAGGAAGTTTGAGAAGTATGAAATGGTAGTTTAATTATGGCTAATGATGTTATAATTGCCCATCAATACCCATAAAAAAAAGATGTAGGAATATCAGGAGGGAGATGTATACAAGTGGAATGTAACTTTGGACAGTAAGTCCTAGTGCTTTTGTTCTAGTGGCACTCCTGTAGGGTGTGCTCTGCAGATTGTAGGCAGATAATTAGCATTAGCTAGAATGAATGAGATGTGGAGCCTAACGGACCCCTTGGATGTGCAAATAGTGCTGGTCCCTTTTGTCCTGGATGGGGACTTCACTGTGTGTCTCTCCCTTCACCCACCCGCCTGTCCTCTGCAGGAGAATTTCCAGCTCCCTGGATCTTTGGAAAGGAGGCGAAGTCACAGGCCTTGGGGACATCTGATCTTTGTCTTATGCTTCTGGTAGGTCACAGAAGGTATGCCTGAGCATCTCCAAGAAAGCGTCTCAAGCACAGAAGAAACGCATGAGTTCATAAGTAAAGAGAGGGAAGAGCAAACTAAAGTACCCTGAGATGGCAAAAAGAAACTTGAAATTACTGGGGATTTAGTTCAGTGGCACAAGCACCTGCCTGGCAAGTGTGAGATTGTGATTCGATCCCCTATACCAAAAAAGGAAAGAAAGGAACTTGAAAATGGGACCACTCTGTCTGGGGTGAAGCAGTGGGAGATGAGAACTTTGGCCTCAAACTCAGGGATCTTCCTGTTTCAGCCTTCCAATTGCTGGGATTCCAGGCACCACCAAACCTGGCAAGAATTCATATATGATGCAGCAATGCAAATATAAATCATGACCACCCATGAGGACAATTTCTCAACGTCTATAAAAATTACAAATGCACAGTATTTTGACTCCATAATAAAGTTGAAAGTTAATACCCTTCTGGTCACCACCAAGACTCTACTCTTACATTTTTATTTCATTTCCTTTGTCAACATTGTTTGTTAATGTGCTTCCAGATCTATGCCATCTCTACTTCACTACTTCAGGGTACTCACGTGGCCATCTTTTTCCCCTGAATACTCATGGGTTATAAGTCATAAACTGTGCAGTTCAAAGCTCATTTAGTTTCACTTCTTGTAAGATGTTTACATGAAAGGCATGAAAGGCACATCTTGTAAGATGTTTACATGTTTACATGAAAGGCATGAATCTTAAATGAATATTTACTAAATTTTGACAAATTCATCTGTATAACACAAACCTCTAGCAAGATAAGGCAGGTTACCATTGTTCCAGAACATTCTCTCGGATATTCTATTAATGAATCCCCACAATGGTCCTTCAGATACAATCTCCAGTCTGTTTTTTTCCATGTATTTCATTGGCCACTATAAAACTATACAAATGGGGAAAAAAGGTGTGTCCTATTCATGTACGAAGTTCCTTTCACTCAGTAAAATGTCCTTGAGAGTCACCCATGCTGTTGCTTTGCATGGTGCAGAGTAGTTCGTTCCTGTTCATTGTTGAGCAGCAAGTCCTTTGTGTATGAATTCACTGTAGTTTGTTTCTCCAGTCTCCCCAGGATGGACACTTGTTTTCCTGGTCCCCCCGTTTTTAGATTTATAAATATAGTTGTGATGAACACTTTTGTGCAAGTCTTTTTGTGGACAGGTTTTCATTTTTCCTGAGTAGAAACAGAGGAATTAATTTGCTTTCCTGTGCACGTTTAACTTGATAAAACAAACAAAATCCCAGAACTTTCCCCAAAGTGATTGTACTGCTTTACATTCTGACCAGCAATATAGGTGCTTTGGTTTCTCCACATCTGCATGCAGTTCGGTGTTTGAATTTCAGTCTTTCTAGCAGGTATCTGCACCTCATGTGGCTTCAATTTGTGTTTCTCTGCTGGACAGCGAGCTTTGTAATCACTTGCTGTTCATATGACTTATTTTATAAGGTGTCTAACTTTTACATTACTAATTTAATTTTCAATTGTTTGTTATCCTACTGGATGGGGTAATTTTGAAGAATTGCTGAAATAAACCAATATCCATTCTATTTTAGGAATTTCCAAGAAAGGAAAAGTTTATCTCATTGTTCTTTCTGGATATTACGTCACTTCTATAAGAATGAACTTAACTGACACCAAATTACTGTCATTTGTACTCATTTCTCCTGGGTGCTCCTCATTGCAGTTTACTGAGTTAAAACAGAAATATTTCAACATAATTTAGGATTAGGAATCACATGCTTATTTAGGTTACATTTGAGTATATGATTGGGAAGAAATTATTTCATAAATGATATGCTTTTATCTCTTTTCTCTCAGCATTCTCAGTCTGTCTGCAAAAGGTAAAAAGGAGTAATTAAAGCAAATACAATCAGTTCATTTCTATATTTGTCCACCTTTAAATCTTTTTACTACTGAGCGGGAAACCAAGACTGCTTTTGCTAGGAAAAGCAACGTCCCACTGCTTAGCTGGAAAAACTGTGGTTTGATTGAGGACTCAGTTTCTTTTCTAAGTTCAAAAGTTATATGTAAGCAGTATCCCACACAGAAGCTGCTGACACCTGTTTATCGAAACACCGGGAAACAAAAGCAAACCAAACCTGGAGAAGATGGCGATGTGGGTCAGAGTGCCCTTGACCAAGTGGAGCTGAGACTCATGGAAAAGAGGGTGAAGGCTGGCGATGCAGGTGCCCCAAGTTGGTACTGATTTCCTCCTGCCTGGGTAGGGACAGGAAATGGCGATTTCTTTCAGCTCACACTTCGGTCCCTCCGCAAGCATCCTCTGCAATAACTGCTGGGAGGGAAGAGAACATTTGCCTTTCTTTCTTGCCCCAGGAGAACTGCTGTCCTGACTATGGACGTAGTACTTCCCTTCTCCCTGTCTCTGTCATCTACCTACTATCTACAATACACATTTAGATTCCTATTTCAACTCTCCATGTACTTTTTAAAATTTTATTTTAAAGAAGGTAAAACAGAATAAAACCAATCAAAGCACATCGGTGTAAGAGATACAGGACTTTTAAACATTTCAAAATTGCTTCCAGGGCAGGAGTGGGGCGGGGATTAGTACTTCTTGTTTGCCAGCAGGCGATTGGAAAGCACTGGGGTCTGTCTGTTCCCAGTCTGTCAGTGGCCGTGTGTGGCGCTGGTTCCCAGACTGGGTTTGCTTCCTGGTGTGGCCTTGTTCTCTCTGCCCCCAGTCCACAAATGGCCTCTATGTACTTTTCTTGTCCACTGTAAATCGCGGTAAAAGTTACACAACACAAAGCGTACAGTTCAGTAGTGTTACACATTTTTCACACTGTGTCACAATACAGCCCCAGAAACTTATTTTTTTCCAAATCAAAACTCTACACCCCTGCAGCACCTACCTCCAGCTAATAATCACCATTTTACTTTGTTTCCATGACTTTGGCTACATTAGCTACCCCTACAAGTGGAATCATGTAAGATTTGTCTTTTGTGTCTGGTTTATTTCACTCAGTGCGTCTTCAGGGTTCATCCCCGTTATAGCATGAGTCACATTTTCTTTCTCTTAACGGGCAGAATAACAGCCCATGTGTTTATACAGCACGCTCGTTTACCCACACGCGTCAGGGGACAGTTGGCTTGTCTCCACCTTGCATAGCGATGAAGATGAGTGTGCCAATGCACCTTAAAACTCTGCTTTCAGGTTTTTGGATGCAGATGCAGAAGTGGGATTCCTGAATCACATAACAGTTCTATTTTTAAGTTTTTGAGAAACCACTTTAAAAGCCTACGAATAATGCAGAAGGATTCCACTCTCTTCCTGCCTTTGCAAACACCTGTTTTCTGTTTCTTCTCTAGACTTAGCCATCTTAATGGGTGTGAGGTGCTTGATAGATTGAACATTGTTTGCAAATTTAATTGACATAAAAACTATATGTACAAGGTGTTGTGATGCTTTGAATCTATATTTAAAAGATCAAAAATAAAGTTTAAAAAATTATTACCATAAAAGACATATTGGCATTCATTCTTCTTAAATACATCCCCTCTTTTTTTTTTGAGACAGGGTCTCACTATATAGTTCAAGCTTGCCTTGAGCTCTCTTTGTAGCCCAGGCTGGCCTTGAATTTATAGTGATCCTCCTGCCTCAGCCTCCCGAGTGCTGGGATTACAGGAGTGTGCCTGGCTACTTCCCCTCACTTACCTCACTGTCTTTGCCATTTTCTGAAGCAGGGCTGGAAGTTGTCTTTAGCTACTTCGATAGTGCGTATCTTTAGCTACCTTGTCATGGCATCCTCAATCTTCTGAATTACTTCAAAATATTGACCTTTTAGGGTCCTTTTGACTTTGGGGAAAGTCAGAAGTCACTGCCAGGTCCAGTGGATAAGGTGGAGGAGGACATAGTATCATGTTCTGATAAGCCTGCCTTCATGTGGGACTGCACTGGCAGCAGTGTTCCCCATAATTTTTTAAAGACACATCCTTTAAAGACATTCACAGAAGAGGATTTGCATAAATGCTTCAAAAAGTAAAAATGAGGGGACAAATGTGTTCAAAATGAGAGGGAGTGTTTTGAGAGGGGTTAATGGAGCTACTATCTGTTATTGTAATAAATTTTTAAACATTCACTATATTTTGATCCCATCTTTTTAAATACACATATATAGCATGGAATAGTTCCATCCGGTAAATAGATCTAACTCCTCAAATTTTTGTCATTTCTTTGTGGTGGGAACTTTCCAACCCTTTCTTGTAACTTTTCCTGAAATGTCCAGTACGTGATCATGATCTGTGGTCTTCCCGCTGTGCGACACCACACAGGAACTTAGGTCTCCTCTGGAACTGTGACTTACCACCTGCTGACCAGCCCTCCCCACACCCTGTCCTCTGTGCCCCAACCTCGGCATACCACTCTCTGTCCTCAACTTCTGTGAGATCAATTTTTAAAAATTCATCATAAGTGAGATCATGCAGAATTTGTCAGAAAGCCAGAAAGGCAATGCAGAGGGATAGTCTCGCTGTGTATCTCAGGCTGGCCTCAAATTTATGGTGATCCTCCTGCCTCAGCCTCCTGAGTGCTGGGATTAAAGGTACGATTCACCACCCCTGGCCCAAGGTAACCCTTTTTGAACAATGAAACTACTTAAGTAACCATCAACAGTGATATACCTTCCCCTACATATTATTTAATTCTCTGACAACTAAAAGACAGGATCTCTACCAGATTCCAAAGGACTGCAGCCTGCTGCTTTCCTTTGACATTTGTCATTTTCAAAGCTAAGGGGGAGGGGGTGAGACCCACGAGGCTTTGCTTTTTATCCCATTGTAGTTTCTACCCTAGAAAAAGTATTTTTATATACATATTTCTCTGGCTGTTCTAGATTTCTGAATACTGAATTACAACAAGATAAGATGTTTAAGAAGTCAGCCTCTGGAGTCAACTACCTGGGTCAGAATCTTCTCCTCCACCACTTACCACCTGTGTGACCTGGGTAAGCTACTCAGCCTCTGTGTTTGTTTCCCCTTCTGTAAAACAGGGATAGTAGTGCGATTCCTACTTCATAGAAAGATTTTGATTAAATGGGTTAACTTCACAAGGCATGATAGCTCAATGTGCTTCAACTGATGTTGTTAAAAACAGAAAAGAAGAAATTCTAGAAAAAGTGGAAATTGAAAGTTACAATTTCAAAGCAGTTTTAATCAGAAATTGCAATGCGGAGACTGAGGATGTGGCTCAGTGGTAGAGCTGTTGCCTTGTGTGCACAAGGCCCTGGGTTCAATCCCTGGCACTACACAAAAAAAATTGTAATAGGGTTATTTTAAGTGCTTTTACGTTTAAATGCATCTGGAAAAACGAACAAGTCAGACTCGTCATGAAAACTCTTGGAGTCAGGGGTACAGCTTTATGACACAGCACCCGTTGGCAAGTGCAAGGTCCCAAATTCGATTCCTAATACAAAAAGAAAAGAAAAGAGACCTCTTGAATAGCAATACTATGATGTTATCAACAAACACCTTGGCACTGGGTCAGGGATACACAGGACAGAGGAAAGGATGTGACGACTGCATGACAGGGGTGGCATTTTAGAGAACCTTGAAAGAGATGGGTTGCTCAATGGAGATCTACATAGCCATTTGGAAAAAAGAAAATTTGGATCCGTATCTTACTTCTTATGTCAATATAAATACCAGATCAATCAGTGATAAAAATATGAAACTATTAAATGTGATATCATGGTTTTTTTAAAGTCTTGAAATGGGGAAGACTTTTTCAAAGAAAAATTTAAAAAACCAAACACTGAAAAATTTGAGACCATTAAAAACTGAGAACTCAAAAAAAAAAAAAAAAAAAAAGAGAGAACTCACTACATAAAAAGCACTGTAAACAAAATAAAACAACAAAACTATTCCCTACAGAATTTCAAACAACTGAAAGATACTATGAATCAGCAAGACAAAGACCAAAAAAAAAAAAAAATGACAAAATGAGCAAAGGATCTGAAAGGCAGTTCACAGAAGAGATAAACCAATGCAGAGTTAAAGACATGAGAACCCATTTCCCCACAAGAATGATAGGCGTTAACAGTACCTGCAGCCAGAGAGATGGATGAGTCCATATTCACCATCGTGAGTTGAGATTGTGAAAGTCACTTTCTCAAGCCCTGTTTGTGGGTTTCTTGGTCATCTATCCTGTCTTGGTTGCTTTTCTCTCTTCACTTGGACAAAACACCCAACACCCAAAATTAGAGAAGACAAGTTTTATCTGGCTCACAGTTCGTGAAGGTTTCAGCCCATATTTCAGCTGGCTCCAAGGCACGGTGGCTCAGGACAGAGGACAACAGTTCATAGTGGCAGAAAACAGCACAAGCAACAAGATCAAAAGGGAAGGAGCATGCAAGAAGGCTCTTTATGTCCCTTATATTGTATGTAGGCCACATCTACTTGGGTGTAACACTCACACCCATAATCCCAGCATTAGACCATCACAAACTCTAGAAGCCTGCCCCCATGACCCCATGAGGCTTTGGGGGCAGACACAAACTGGACATACAGACACAAACCATAACATACCTCTTTGAGCAAACTGTGCCAAATGAATTTGAGAAATACCCAGCTTACTGCAGATGAGGGAAGACCCAGCTCTTTGTCCACTGGGAATGAGGAGACACAACCATTACTCTGCTCTGCTTAGAGGTACAGTGCCAGTTGATCTGACCCAAAGGGTGGGCGAACAAGAAAAGGGCTGGTGCTGCTGACAGTAGGGGCTGACATTGGGGTGCCCACTCCCCTCAGTGGCTTCTTCCTTACATCCAGGCAAATAGGCTGCAGTGGCTGAAAACAGCTCATCTTCAGGGGTCACCTGCAATTGCAGCTGAGCCTCTGTGGACAGTGATCCTGAGAGAGCTGGCACCTCTCACAAGAAAAGCTCCGAAAGCATCTTGCTGAGCGCGAGCTCAGAGCTGCACGGATTCCCCTGACTGGGCTGTGAACATCACATAGCATCTCTTCATGGTACTTCATTGACCAGAAGTGTCTCAAGCTTGACCAGACACAAAGGGCAGGGACACAGAACTCGTTTCTCCATGCAAGGAGCATGTAATCAATGGTGGCCATATTCAAAACCTCTGCAGTGGAAGGGTACACCCCTGGAGGGTCCTTGGAAGGTAATTTCACAAGATCGACCAAAAATTAATGTGCAACTATCTTTTGAACCAACAGTGTTCTATATGGAATATTTCCTTGAGCTCTATTTTACTACCTCCACCTCCAAACTGCTTCCCTCCTTAGACTTATCCCTGTCTGGGTTCTGCCCTGCACTTCCAGGTCTAGGATGCTCTTTGCAAAAACCTCAAAGTCTCATCCAAGATCAATGCTTTCTGCAGCCCAATTTCTGCAGGTTCCAGTAGAGCAGCTGCCATGAGAATGGGTTGACTCTGGTGCTGTAGGTAGCAGGGGTCCTGAACGGATTTGCTGGAATTCAACAGTTCAAAATTCCAAGGTTTCCCATTGATTATAAGGTGTGGTCAAAATATAAAGAAAATATCCAAGTTAAAGAAAATCACTGTAGTAAAAGACACACTGCTATGAATCCCCTCACTCCATACCCCACCTTGCTTTGAACCCACTCTTGCTGCTTTTCTGAAGCAGTTCTGGAAGTCCTCTTTCTTGTCTTCATAAGATGTGATCCAAAACACAGTGACTCCTGCTGCCGCATGCCATCTAAAGGAAAGGTACCTACTGTGTGACTTCTTGATCTTTCCAAACTGAAATCACCATGAAAGGTAAATGTTTTGAGTGAATTCAGGATATCAAGGCCACCATAGCAGTGCAGTAAAGACTCTCCCCAAAGAGGACTTCAACAACGGCTTCAGAAAGTGGCAGGAACGATGGGATGTGTGTTTGAAGCTAGGGGGAGGATTCTGTGCGGGATTCATGGCAATGTGCCTTTTACTGTGATGCATTTTTTAAAAAAATTTAAACATTCATGTAGGTTTGCATTGAACTTCAGCTACAGGGAGGCAGATTCTTTCAGCTGACATGTTGATCCTGCCTCTTCTAACACACTCCTCCTCCCACGTTACGCTGTGAGTTATCTGCTGCTGCAAAGCAAGCCGCTCCAAAACAGTGGTTGAGTCCAGCGTTTTCCATCTTTTTTATTTTATAAAAAGTAAAACAAAATTCATACCAAGGGGCTGGGGATTTAGCTCATCGGCATAAGCACCTGCCTTGCAAGCAGGCGTTCGTGAGTTCGATCCCTGGTACTGATAAAAATGAAAAAGACAAAAAAAAAAAAAAAATTCATACCAAGTAAGAGAATAGCAATTGTTAACACAGTGTTATCACGAGCTTAAAAGTAATTACTTGGAGTATAAAATATAGACAAAAGTATTCTTACAAAGAAACAAACAGATAATAGTACAAAACTTTCTTTCTTTTTTTTTTTTTTTTCTTTTTTGTCTTTTTGAGACAGGGTCTCACTATGCAAGAGCTCACTTTGTAGCCCCGACTGGTCTCAAACTTGCAACAATTCTCCTACCTCAGCCTCCCGAGTGCTGGGGTTACAGACATGTGCCACCACACCTGGCTAAAATTCTCTTTTCTATGAACTAAGAGAAACTGGCAGTGTAAATTAAATTAGCATATACATTCCATTTGACCCAGCTATCCCCCTTCCAGGAATCTTCCCAATGAGAGTTAAAATCTTCAGATTACAGGGATACTGCACACCCATGTTTACACCAGCACACTTTAGAACAGCTAGATCTTGGGAACGGCTTATAAGTCCATCAACAGACAAACACATAAGGAAACACGTGTTTACACATGATGGAATATTCCGCTGCATTTCTCTTCTTGGTCTCTTCCATGGCCAAGAATCTAGGAACTGCGTACCTGGGTCCCTTGACTCTGGTCTCTCACAACACCCTGGTCCTCTCAAGGGCTGAGCGGAAAGGACCTCCCACGGGGTCACCCTCAAGGCTGAGGCTGGCTGCGGGCTCAGTGCCTCAGGGGTGTTGTTTTAGGGGCCTCATTTTTTCATGAGTGACCACCTCTCTTTCACCTGGCAGCAGGGTTCATCAAGGCAAGCCAGCGAGAGGGCACACACATGTCACCAAGAGAAAGAATGCTAGCAAGCGGAAGTCACTGTTCTGTAATCCATTCATGATCTTAACCTTACCTCCCTCTTCCCGAGGGGATGACACAGGATGTGAGTACCAGGAGCCCAGTGGCAGAGCTGCCCGGCACAGCTGCTCAGCGCTCTGAGCAAATCCACTCCTGCTTGAGTAGGGACCAGTGAAGGCTCCCTCAGTTACTTCATGTCTAGAGAGCACTGTACCCCTAAAGCCAGAGGTCTCTGCTAGAGAATAATGTGTTGTTGAGAGTCACAGTGAGCTAAAAAGTTTCACCGCACTGTGACACATAAGCACTTCATAGGAAAGATCTGTGCACCAACATTTCACCTACACCTATGTATAAGACCAGAAAGTAGAGCCGAACATATAGCTCAGTGGCATGGTGTCTGCCTGGCAAGTACAAGGTCCTGAGTTCGACTCCTAGTACAAAAAAATAGCGAGTTGTGGTGGTGCACACGGATCATCTCAACTTTCTTATAGGATGAGGCAGGTTTGCAAATTTGAGCCCAGACTGGGCTACTTAGCAACTTAGTGAGATTCTGTCTCAAAAAAATAAAAAGGGTTGGGGATGTAGCTTAATATAAAGTCCTTGGGTCCAATACAGTACCACAAAACCCAAAACCAAAACTAGACAATATCAGGAAGTCTAAAGACTGTGGAAAACTATCTGTGGGCAGGGTGCTGAGGCTGGTCGGTTGGGTCCTTTCTGAGCCTGGGTTTTTGTTTTTGACATGTATCCACATTTGTGTTACAGGTTTTTTTTTTTTTTTTTTTAAAGTTAAAGTTAACAAAAGAAGGTTCAGAAGAGATGACCACTGAATTTAGAAATATTTCATACCATGTAGCCTAAGATAACAAGAAGACCTAGGTCATCATAAATGTTTGTACTCTGAAAGTTAAGCATAAACCCTCCATAAGGGCAAAAATACATTTACATTTTTCAGGGATTAATTTTCCAGGCTGTGGAATTTCCAAATTAAATGCCCAAACTGGCATTTAATCTGAGTAGCTGAGATCACAGACATGCACCGCTGAGCTGCATTGGACCAGGGAAAGAATGCAGGAATACTTCCTGCTACACAAGGTTCCACCCAACCAAAGAACGTGAGATGCAGAAAGAGACCCTGGAGGTTCCCTAGTTCCACCCCATTTTCCCCAGGCCCTCTTCTACAGTACCTAGCTCCCCAGA